TCCCAATTCAATCCCGGTCAGTATCCGTTTCCGTATTTGGGTGTATTTGTGTGTGTGTATGTGTGTTTGTGTGTAGTTTGCATGTGTGTGTGGTTTGTGTGTGCGTGCATGTGCATGTGTGCGTGCGCGTGTGTGTCTGTGTTATTTATTCATTTATTTATTCGTTTCCTTGTTTGTTCAATTTTATTTTCAAAATTTATTAATCTACTAATTTTATAGCTTCCAAGAGATTTTGGGTCGCCTTTGTTCTGATTAATTTTCGTACAGTTCATTAACGTTGCGTTATAAACATAAGTGTTTGATAAAAATCATTTCTTCCACTACTAATATGCCTAGATTGTTGGCAGATGGTGCGAATGGTTCGCTATTTCTAGTCATTGTTTGTTGTATTGTTTAGGTATTTCTGTATTCCTGGGTATTGTTAGGTAATTCTACAACTGCCAGGATTTGTATTTTTCGTGTGTTTGTATGTACTTGTTTGATTTGGTGTTTTTCGGTGATGCTGAAGACATTGGAGCCCTGTCGTGAAGATTTCATTGATGATGTAGTACTTCAATGATATTATTTATTAAGATGATAATGTTTATGCTGTTGATGATGGAGGTATCATTAATGATGAGGATGATATTGTCAATGATGATGATGATGATGACGACAACGACGATGATGATGATGTTGTTGTTGACAGCGATAATGGGATAATGACATATTTGATGAGGATAATTAAAGAGTAGCGTCCATCCATAATGGCCAGTAAGTCCATAGATAGATTAATGCACGCAAGCTAGACCAAAGAACAATAATTAGATGTATGTAGGCGCATACGTATCTATGGAAACGATAAAATGGCGGAAACTTCGTAATAACGAAATGTCGACTTGTTATTGTTGTTATTGTTGTTGTTGTGATGATGATGATGATGATGACGATGATGACAACGATTATGATGCTGATGTTGATATAAATATAAATAAACTATTGATAACAACTATGATAGAGAAGATGACGATCAAGATGATAATGTTGATAACCCTCTCTCTCTCTTTTTCTTTCTTTTACTTCACTTTTTCTCTTTCCCTCTCTCTCTTTCTCTCTTTCTTTTTCTCTCTCTTTCTTTTTCTCTATAAATATATACAATTTTATACATGTGATAAAAAGCGTACGAAAACGGATACGTTTTTAGATAACTATGTATTGGATTATGTGCCTCTGTGTGTACGTGTGTCTTTCTACACATGTGTGTATGTGTGGATTTGTGTATGTGTGAGTGTGCGTGTGTTTGTATACGCCAGTGTATGTATGAATATGTGTATGTGTGTATATATGTGCATAAGTGTGTGCAACATTATCATCTTAATCGTCATTAATTTGTGTCTGGCGTTACTTATCATTTTGTTTAACTATGATTTGACGTATTATAAATAAGCACATCATTGTTCTCTCTCTCTCTCTCTCTCTCTCTCTCTCTCTCTCTCTTTCTATCACTCTAGATTGTATTTTGATGCATTAAGAAAATTTGCTTATTTGTTTTTACAATTTTACATTTTTATTTTATAAACGTTATTTTTTTAGTAAACTCCATTTATAAATTTCCATGCTGTTACGAGTTCATTGCATTTTCATCTAATTCGTTACCTCGTTTGAAAAGTCCTGTAGAGTTTATCTATCATCTCTTTAAAGTTGTAATCAATGTTTAGAAATGTTTTTAGAATGTTTTAAAAATTAACTGATCAACTACTTTCTGAATGTCTTGTTGTTTCATTCCACGCTGTCTTTCATTTGGATGCACGCACACTCGTTAAAACCGGTTAGTTTAAGTTTTGCAATAAAAAATTACCAATTCCTCCAATAATTATAGTAATAATAATATTAATAAATCAATAATTTTGACATTTTACTAAAAAGAGCTAATTAAATTATCATAATAATTTCACAATCACTTGAGTTAGGATAATTACATCGATATATTTGGATTCAATGCATATGTATGTTTCTAAATGATGTATGAATATGTATATTTAGGCCAAATCATTCACCATACTAAAAAAAAAATTTACTTCTATAGACCAGGAACAAACAAAACATAATCAAACAAAAACAAACAAACAAAATAAAACATACAAATAATAAAAATATAACATCAAAAAATCCAATCAACAAAGATTTAGACGGCCAGTGGTCTGATTGGTCCAGTTGGACGCCATGTTCGGTCACGTGCGGACAGGGATGGACCAATAGAAAGAGGTCATGTGACAATCCTAAACCGGAAGTTGGAGGAATGTTTTGTAGAGGGAGGGATGTGCAGAAGAAAAAGTGCTATGAAAGAATGTGTCTGCACGGTGAGATGGTGTAAAAATTTGTAAATTAAATATGTTTGTGTGAGCGCGCGTGTGTGTGTTTGTATGCGTGTGTGCGTGCGTGAGTGTGTGAGTGTATGTGTGTTGTGTGTGCGTATAACTATTCTTTTCTAATTTATCGGTTTAATTGCAAAACGCCTAGTTTCATTGACTAGTTCAATAAACCTGTGAGTCGCATATTTTCTTTAAAATTCAACCAATGAAGAAAATTTGAAGAGCGAAGTGGACGGGACTTTCGACGCCAACTTAACCCACGTCTGTCCGTGTGGATGTGTTGTCGTCCAACGCAAT